ACAAAGCAAACAGTTCTTCAACTGGGGAACAAGCATTCAAACATCACCCATACAATGAGCTTTCAATTAGTTTCTGGAAAGTTCTGTCATGAGTACTAGAGGGTATTTCTGTGAGATGGTTAGGGTTCAGACAAGAGAGTCCTCTGATCACAAGCCCTCAAGATAAATGGTTCCTGTTATTAACACTATGAAAAGGCATGGATTTTATTTTTTTAATTAAAAAATTTTATTGTTTAATTTTATGTGTATGAGTGTTTGCCTACATGTATGTATATATGTATGCATGTGCACCACATGCATGCTTGGTGCCCACAGAACCAAATCCTTGTCCTCTGCAAGAACAATAAGAACTCTTAACTGCTGGGCCATCTCTCTGGCCCCTGAAAAGGCATGGATTTTAAAACAGAAATTATTGAGGAATTTTGAAGCAAAAATATATTAAGAGTAAGTGCTTCATGACCATATGATGGCACAGTGGATAAAGATGCTTGCCACTAACCTGGTCTGAGTTTAGGATAAAGATTCTCACCATCAACCTGGTATGAGTTCAGTCCCTGAGACCCACATGGTGGAAGGAAAGAATTGACTCCCACAATTTGCCCTTTGAGCTTCAAAAATATACTGTGGCACTCACCCAAACATATACAATAAAGTGAATAAGCAAATGCAATTTTTTAAAGATTTTGCTTCCTTTTCAAAATTAAAATTTGACATCTCAAATTTTGCCCAGTTTAAAACATTGTATTTTTACTTTGTGTATGGGTGTTTTGCCTACATGTTTTGCCTACATGTCCATATTTGTGCACCACATAAGTGCCATTGCCCACAGGCTATAAGATGGCTTCAGATCCACTGGAACTGGAGTTATAGATGATTATTAGCCACCATGTAGATGCTGAGAATTGAACCCCAGTCCTCTGAAAGAGCTGCTGGTGCTCTTAACCATTGAGGCATTCCTCCAGCCCCTCACCCTATTTTTGCAGCACTGTGAATTCGTTTGTATCTATGATACAAATATCTGACTTGGCTGGAATAATGCACCCTGGGCCCCACAGTGTGGCTATATTGGAAATAACCATGTTCTTAGTAACCAATTAAAACTTTAAAATTAATTTCCAAGTATAACTGTAGGAATACATAGAAAATGTAGTATGAGCTTAATGTCCATAGGATGTATTCATAGACATTTGCTAAAACAACGTAGGTATTTTTCGAAGCCTTTTGTGTGTGATTCTATGTTGTAATATATATGGAACTAGATAGATTATCCACCTGTGAGATATACTTTTAAAAATTATTCTCTACAGGCCTGACTTTTTTGACTACATCTATTTGTTTCATATTATTTGTAACCTTTCACCGCTTTCATTAAAAAAAAACAAACAAACAACAAAAACAACCAAATAGTTATATGGCAGATAGTTAAGGTGAGAAACTATTAAGAATTCATCCTAAGTCAAAGCCACCCAAATCCTGAGCCCTTACTGAATTCCCTTTTGGAAACATGTTTTTGAGCACTACCACCCTCCCCTTCGGAAAGAGCACACGGATAAGTCTTGTGATAGCTCTTCAGGCCTGGTGACATTGGCCACCCCTGCTCCTTTGCACTGGTGTCGGGACCCTTGCCACCCAGAAGCCTATCTGTGATTGGAGTTATTGTGATGAGATACGTTCCTTTCCTCCAAAGACTGTGTGTTCCATCTAAAAAAAAACAACTGTCAGACAGATGTGTCCATCCCATAACCCCAATGTGGGGCGGGGCACAGAGCAGTGTGTGACAAACCTTTATTGACTTGAAATGAAAGGTGGCCGTAAAGCCATGAAAACTGCAGCATGCAGGAAGAGGTCTGCCTAGACTGAGGAGGAGTGCTTGTGCCTGCTGGGCTCTGAGCACAGTTCAGCCTTCCTCTGGCTGGAGCACACCAGTGCGCCCCGCCCCCAGGCCATTGTTCCAGTTCTCACCCACTCCTGGGGAAGGATGGCATTGCTCTAGGCTCCTGGCCACCTGTTTACGTTGGGTTGCCATTCCGTTCCGTTCCGTTCCTTTGCTCTGCTTTTGGCGGCTGTCCCTCCAGAAGTAGGCGTAGAGAATTTGGAAAAAGAAATTGAATAAATTTGAAAAGTCGTCTTTGGCAGCTCTCCGTACTGTTTAATAAAGCAGGAAGCAGTTTCAAACTCTATGCTAGGAAAATAAGTCAAAAGAGACCTTTACATTCACAGTAATTAAATTGCAAAGGCTCAGTTTGCAGTGCTAATCTTAAAATCTTTCGGCACGTGGTTTCTTCTTGAGTGTAAGTGTAGATTCGGACTGGAGGCTCCTGGAAATATACCCTGTGCTTGAACGGGCAGAGGTACATCAAGAGTCCATTTTCCCTGTGAGCAACAGCAGGGTTTTGTGAGAATATAGACCTGCACCCTCTGATAGCGTCTTATTCTTTTTTTGTTGTTGTTTTGTTTTGAGAAGGGGGTCTCACTATGTAGACCAGGCTGGCCTAAACTCACAGAAATCTACCTGCTTCTGCTTCCAGTGTGCTGGGATTAAAGGTGTGGGCTACCACACCAGCTAGCTGTATAGCTCTTTGAAAAGCAGTTTTTTTCCTATGGTAATTCCTTGGCCCCAGCAGGGCCCCTTTCTCAGTTTAGCAGTATGGAAGAAATACTTTAAAGACTACCAGATGTCTGGGTTAATAAAAGCGGTGTCTGTTCTCTTTGAATGCTGCTACGAATCTTAGGAAGAAACTGAAACGTTTAAGGCTGTCTCATCACTTTAAACATTTATCATTACTGAATGTGCAAAAGACTGAATTGACTAGTCCTCCGTTAAGGAAGAGAAGTGGATCTTGTCGGCCTGATCATGTGAGGTCCTTAACACTGTCCCTCGCCATTGTCACCGCTCTTGCCCTAATTCCTTTCTTACCTTTCTCGTGCTCGTCCATTGGTGAAATTATTAAGGCCACTCCACGTAGTTAAAAGGGAGGTTTATTTTGTGGGGTAACTCACAAGTGAAGGGATAGGTTACAGGGTCTGGGAAAGGTGTAGCGCAGTCCGGCGGTGTTCTCTGGAGAACTCTGCTCGGTCTACCTCCAGCGTCCAGGGTCCAGGAACCAAGAGAGCCGGCGCATCCAGATCTCGGGTCTTCAGGGTCCTCTCTCGGCCCTGCCTTGTAGGCGTGACAGTTACCGAAGCCTCAGTGGGGGTTGGAACTTCCAGATCAAAGCTGGAATGGCTACCCACTACACTTGTCCCTTGAAAGGCAAACTCAGGTGTGGTACAAAAGTGAAGGCCCTGTGGAGGGCTGGGAAAGGGAGGAGCTGAGCTTACATAGGGTCTGGGACCTCACCAATGGCTAGAATTCATGACTGTGCCTTCCCAGCACCTGCGAGAGGCTGCCACAAGTCATCAAAGAAAGTTAACACTTCACATATGCCAGAGATAAGTTGTATCGCCTATCCTCTGTGGTGACTCAGATAACCTCTTCAGGATTTTGGACAATAAAAACCATATCTGGATTTTCCCAGGAATTTCTGTGGCATGCATGCATACCTTGTAGTAAATGTAGAATTTAATGTTGCATGTACTTAGTGTAGGCTCAAAAAGAGCAAAATTGCAATATAAAATAACACAGATACATGGTGTTTTACATGCATTTATGGAGCTCTCTGATGTTAGAGGCAATTAAGCCAGCGCAGGTGCAGCTAGCTAAAGAAGCTCGAAGTTGTGACTTGTTACATAACACAGTCCAGAAGTAGATGGTCTGTATGCAAGGTAGATCAAAAAGTGACCATGTTAGAGGACAGGAGAGGAGGCCATCGGGACAGGTTGCAGCAAGGCTGAGTGGTCCAAGTAGTAGGGTGGTCCCTATGCATAGCACAGAGACAGGAGTGGTGGCTGGAGGCGACCATGGAGAAGCCTGGGTTTCAGGCACCATCGGGCATCCCTGTGAAGGACTTTGAACAGAAAGATGGAGTGTTTTTACTGGGAGCAATGATAGCAAGCAGCTTGGATGGTGGGATGCAGAATCTGGAGGGAAGCGGGGTCCCCAGGTCACAGAAACTCTGGTCACTCTTAGGCCGTGAGTAGGACCAAGGAGGCCCAGATTGTAAGAATAGACCTTGGTCTGAAGAGCTCTGAGACAGGGGCTGGAGGAAGGCTCATCGAGAACTGTTTGTCCGGCAAGCATGAGGATCTGAATTCAATCCCTGCAACCCATTAAAAAAAGCCAAGCATACACTTGCCAACCAGGCTAGCCCAATAGGTTCTGTCTAGGCCAGTGAGACACTCTGCCAGAGGTGGATGGTATTTCTGAGGATGTCCTCTGTTTATAGTCTTTGACATGCTGAAGGTCATCTGGCTGGTAAAGTCTCTGGTAGGTGGGCATTGAAGTAGGATTCTGAGAATTCAGGGGACATTCTTTTTTACTGTCCCTGAAGTCAAAATTTACTACAAGATAGGTTTTCCAGCTGAGTAGAGGAGTTGTGTATGTGTATAATCTGCAGAGGCAAGAGGACCCTCAGCTACATAGCAAGTTTGAGGCCAGTCTGAACTATTTGATTCCCTGTCTCAAAAAACCAAACCGAACAGACAAAACAAAATGGACTCTTAAATTGCCTTTAACACGTTCTAATGCTAACTTGGTCTGTTTCTATCATTTACATTTTTTGACATTTTATTTACTGATTTAAGAGGGTGCTTGCCATGCTGCACACACCGAAGTCAGAGGACAATTTGTAGGGAGTCTCCTTCCGTTGTATGGACCGAGGACTTAGAACCCAGGTCCTCAGCCCTGGCTGCAAGCTCCCTCATCTGCTGAGCCCTGCCTCTGTACTTGCTCTCTTTGCTGAAAAAGAAAGCACTTGAGAGTGAAATTGCAGAGCTAGAGGAGCTTGTTTGTTTTTTTACAGCGCTGGGCATTCTTTCCCTTAGCCACACCCCCGCCCAGAAGGCTGGCTCAGATACTGTTATCCCAAGCAAGCCTCAGTCATTCTCTCCTTCTTTTGCAGGCATATCTTTTTCTTGCACATTAAGGAATCCCTCTTGGCAGGCCACCTCCAGTGCTCCCCAGAGCAGGCGGTGGAGCTTAGCGCCCTCCTGGCCCAGACCAAATTCGGAGACTACAACCAGAACACAGCCAAGTACAACTATGAGGACCTGTGTGAGAAGGAACTCTCCAGCGCGACCCTGAACAGGTGAGGCCGCTGCCGCTGCCACTTCCGCTGCCTGGAGGCTAGCCGTGCACTCTGGCTAGCGTGAGTGTTCACAGCCACGGACTTGATAAGAATCAGGAAACTTACAGTGTTGTCTTAGAATTTGTGAGGCAGAGTGCAGGCCACTGCCAGGTTTAGCCAGTCATTTTCAGAAGATTCATGTGCCTTTTATTTGAGAAGCTTACCAATACAAAACAGTCCACGCAGATAAATGCCCTTATATGAAATTCCATAAATAACAAGGATCTCCAAAGTGCCTGACCTTTTAAATCTGTAAATCTCCTACAATAAAAATCCAGCATGTTTATTGGTGTTTGCTTCATCCCAGCAAGAATTACAGCCTGAGGCCTAACTTAGGCACTCAGTTACCTCTTCCTGTATAACAAGCTAACCCCAAACTCAGCTTAAACTAACAGACGTTATCTGGGAATGCATGGGCAGGGACACAGCTGTGGCTTGAGGGCAGAGCAAGCCCCAGAGGTCAGTCTCATCTAACAGCCCAGCTGAGGGAGGCCTCTGGGTCCAGCTGAGGGAGGCCTCTCTGTGTCCAGCTGACTCCTGTAGCTTCTTGGCCAGCCTCTTTCTCTTGCCATCTGACGTCAGGGCCCTTTCATGGTGTGGTAGCTGGATCACCCAATGTGAGTGATCCAAGAGCAAGAGAGAAGAGCCAGGAAAGAAATCAGACCTTCATGACTCCATCTCAGAAGACAGCTTCATGCCAGGCAATGATCTTCCACCATTTTCTGTTCATTAGAAGCCAGTCATTAACCCAGACCATACTCAAGGGAAGGCTACATTGGGAGACCAGATCACCAAGGACCACAGTTCAGACTGCCTTGCTACAACAGAGAAGATAGATCTATGTTTTCTTCAGTTGCAAATAATCTAATCAGTCCCCTGTGCTGCTAGCCTATCAGGAAACTTGTAAAGTCTATGTAGATAAATATATGAGGGGATCTAGCCTACACATTTGTCTAGTGCATATATTCAGTGATTTTTCCATAATCCTTTCAGTTTACCAGTATTCCCAAATGATGGGTTCTCGATATTTGTTGAAATCTTTTTTTAAATACATGTGTGTGCGTGTGTGTGTGTGTGTGTGTGTGTGTGTGTGTGTGTGTGTGTGTGTGTAAGAAAGCTGGTGAGAGTGAGTTCTTTCTTTCCATCTTGTGTGTCCCAGAGTTCAAACTTAAGCTTTGAGCAAGCACCCTTACCCAATGAGCCATCTCACTGGCCCCATAGTTGTGATTCCAACAGTGTCTTAGAAGTATTTCACAGTAAATGCTTTTGTGATCCATAAATGACCACATCCCTGTAATTCACTAGTGAGATATAAGCATTAAGGAATCATAAACTGACCTGTCTAACTTGGCACCTTTGGATGCTCCACAGCATTGTTTCGAAGCATAAGGAGCTGGAGGGCATCAGCCAGGCTTCTGCAGAGTACCAGGTTCTGCAGGTCGTGTCAGCCATGGAGAATTACGGCGTAGAGTGGCATGCTGTGAGAGACAGCGAAGGACAGAAACTCCTCATTGGGGTGGGACCGGAAGGCATCTCCATTTGTAAAGATGACTTTAGTCCGATGAACAGGTAACCTGAGTCTTCAACGCACGCACATACAATCATAAGCATGTTTATCATCTGTTGCTTTTTTCTGAAAATACAAAATGGACAGAAATTCACTAGACACCTCTATCAATGAAGTGATTCATTTTTTAATTTATTTATTAATTGCATTCAAGCCTTAACTATTTAATTATTTCTTAAATGCTAACTTAAAGTACACTAGTGTGGCAGAATTATTATTTTTCATAGTGGCTCAGGCCATAAATACCTGTATCTGGTTCTGCACACACATACACACACACACACACACACACACACACACACACACACACACACATACACACCCCGAGGGCACTCCAACACTTGTTTCCATGCCGCAACTGCTTGTCCTGCATCAGCATAACTAGTTAGCGTCATCACCGAACACCCCAGGCTGGTTGTCTGGTTTACTGACGGGTCACGGGCAGCCTACGAGGGCATGTCAGCTCCATGCTGAGCTCTCCCTTCTGTGTCTGCTCACTTTTCTCCTCCTGCCTTTCAGGATAGCTTATCCTGTGGTGCAGATGGCCACCCAGTCAGGAAAGAATGTCTACTTGACCGTCACCAAGGAGTCTGGGAACAGCATCGTGCTCCTGTTTAAAATGATCAGCACCAGGGCAGCCAGTGGGCTCTACCGAGCCATCACCGAAACGCACGCGTTCTACAGGCATGTACCACCATGCGTCTCCTGAGCTCAGGTCCCCGCTTAGTGTATCTAGGTGGCTGGCACAGCTGTGATTTCTCCTGGCCTTGAGTTCGAGAGTCTTGTACAGAAAAGGAGAGAATAGCTACTCCGAGCCTTCCTTTCACAGTGCTGGCGGAGCCCTCATCGGCACGGAATGGCGTGTACCTGTGCCTCACTTACAGTCTCCTGCTCTGCTCTCACTTTATTTCCTGCCACAGCCGCCTCCCAGCATAACCCCAGTCCTTGGGCCTGTTCTGCCATGGCTGTGTCCTTTCCCAGAACAGCACAGTGGCACAGGTCTTTCTCTGCTGAGGACGTCCCTGTCCTAAGCCCTCACACCTTACACACTCGGATACTTTTTAAGTTAAATTTCATTTTACTTGGTGTTTTTGAAGACAAAATCTCACTGTGTGTCCAAAGCCAGCCTGAAATTCACTACATACCTCAGGCTGGCCTCAAACTCAACTGCGGTCCTCCAGGCTTGGCTTCTTGACTTCTAGGATTGCTGGCATGCACCACTACACCTGGCCACAGCGAGGAATTTTAAACTACATTCTAGAGGGTACTTTCAGGCTGAGTTGTGATTAGGCTCATACTTAGAAAAAATTAAAGAGAAAAATGTAGTTTGGAGGAAGCCTTCAAATTTTGTTATGTTAAAATAGACTATGGAGCAGAACAGAAAATTTGTAGACATGTTTAATGTAAAAGCCAAAACTTCAAAGAGCAAATGTCCTTTTGCTTCCACAAACTGCTGGATGGCAGCTCACAGCCCGGAGGAGCTGTGGAAACCCATCTCCATATTTACAGCTGCTTCCTTGGAGGTACTTGGAGACCCCTGAGAAGCACAGAGGTGGAGTCATCGAGCTACTAAGCATATAAAATGGAAAGAGCTTAGACATGCACACAAGAATATTAACTGTCTTGGTAAGGCATGTATCTCAGTCCATAGTGTGCTTGCCTAACATGCATGAAGCTCCACATGCACTGGACATGGTGTACATGTCTGTAATCCCAGCAGCACTCAGGAGGTGGAGGCAGGAGGATCATGAAGCTCCAGGTCATCCTTGGCAAGATAGTTCATCCTTGGCAAGATAGTTCAAGACCGGCCTGGGTCACGTGATACCTTGTCTCAAGGGAGAAAAAAAAAAGCTGAATGTGGTGGCACGTGCCTTTAGTTGCAGGACTCAGAGACAGAGGAAGGTGGGTCTTTATGAGTTAAAGGTCATCCTGGTCTACGTGGAGAGTTCTAGGACCTACATAATCTCTAAAAGTGAATAAATAAGTAGGCAGATGGATGGATGCCAGATAGATAGATGATGGATGGATGATAGTAGATAGTAAATAGATAAATAGAAGATAGATTGATAGATGAATGATAATGACAAGATAGAAGACAGAGCACTAAATATCTGTTGATACACTGTTTTTATTGATAACAGTATCTGACAGTCTGAGTTATGAAGCTTCCTAGGCTTTTCAATATTCAATCAGATGTCCACGCTTACCTTCAGGTGTGATACCGTCACCAGTGCCGTCATGATGCAGTACAGTCGTGACTTGAAGGGCCACTTGGCATCTCTCTTTCTCAATGAGAACATTAACCTTGGCAAGAAGTATGTCTTTGATATCAAAAGAACATCCAAGGAGGTATACGACCACGCCAGGAGGGCTCTGTACAATGCCGGTGTTGTGGACCTTGTCTCACGAAGTGACCAGAGCCCCCCCAGCTCGCCTCTGAAGTCCTCCGACAGCAGCATGAGCTGCAGCAGCTGTGAGGGCCTCAGCTGCCAGCAGACCAGAGTGCTCCAGGAGAAGCTGCGCAGGCTGAAGGAGGCCATGCTGTGCATGGCGTGCTGCGAGGAGGAGATCAACTCCACCTTCTGCCCCTGTGGCCACACTGTGTGCTGCGAGAGCTGTGCAGCCCAGCTGCAGGTAAGGGCTCACTTGGCCCTCCTGTCCTTTAAGAAGGGTCTAAAAGGTGCACACACAACACACAGAGTGGGAAGCAGCCATCTCCACCTGGGAAGGTCTTGGTGTTCAGTGACTAAGTCATTGTGCCCCTTATAAACATGGGGATCAGCACCCTCTTGTCACCACATGGTTTCGGAAATGAGGTCCAGACTGACGAAATTAATACATCTTGGAGCGAAAGCAAGAACTAGAATCGAGGCCTGCCTCTTCCACTTTACATGGCCTCTTGCATTCTGATACCACACAGTAGGAATGTCTGTATTATTGCCTAAAATTCTAGTTAAAGAATACATACATTATTGTTACCAGTGACCTATTTACTCTATTTGTGATTAATTTATCTTTTTTCTATACTTAATTTATTCGTGTGTGTGTGTGTGTGTGTGTGTGTGTGTGTGTGTGTGTGTGTGTGTGACAGTGCACATGTGGAGGTCGGAGGACAGTGGGCAGGAGTCAATTCTTTCCTTCTACCATGTGGTGCCAGAAGTCAAACTTAGTTTGCTAGACTTGGTTGCGAGCATCCTTACTCACTGAGCCATCTCACCAGCCCATTAATTTCCTTTCATCACTGCTCATACTTTTAGAAATCTCTTCTATTGGCTGTTATCTGCTAGCAAGTCAAACTAACTTTCCTACAGAAAAATAAAAGCAACTCATATATAGCAGGTCTCCTTTCTTGCACCTTACATTTCCTCTTACCATAAATTTTATACTTGGCTTCACTTCTCAGAAGTTTCTGCTAAATGTCACTGTGTGTATACATAAACCTAGCCTTGCATGTCACCCAGTCCTTACACGCTACGGTTACAGAGCTACTGAAGATTGGACAGTGAGCTCAGGAGCCTGTGCTGCTGCAGGGAGGGGTTTCTCCTCCAAGTCCTGTGCTTATCTGTTCCTGCCCATGTATTCTGACCCTGTGCCTATCTTCCCTTATGGCCAATGAAGGGTGTGTGCTGCCCAAGAAGCCACCAGAGACCTGTTACCCCTGATCATAGGGCATCTGCCCACTGATGTTGGCCCCAAAATAGCTGAGCCAAGGCCTATCTAAGACATATCTCTAGCATGGTGGTCAGAAGAGCAGTGACCTCCTCCTGTATATATGGCTCCAGCATGCAGGAAGGAAAACTGAAATTAACCGAAGGGTTGGGGAGCCGGCTGAGCCAATGAAGTCTCTGTACTGCAAGGCACTGGGACCTGAATTCTTAATCCTAGTGCTGGGGAGGTGGAGACAAGCAGGACCCCTGGGGATCATCTGCCAGCCAGCCTAGCTTAATCAGTGTTCTCCATGCCAGTGAGAGACCCTGTCTCCAAAAAGAGGCAGAAAGCATCTGAGAAGTAATACATGAGGCTGACCACTGGTCTCTGAGCAAAACACACACACACACGTACACACAGTTGGCCAGAAAATGTAATTTTCTTCAGTGAGTGTCCTTTCATAACACTCATTTTTAATCCTTATAAAGTGTAAACATTCAAGCCTATTACAGAGCAATTGATAGCTTAGAAATTGCAATGGCAGCCTATCTAGAAAGTGGAGTGTGGTGGGGACCAAGGCTGAGCTCCCAGACCAGGTCCAGCAAACGTTCTAACCAATGTTGGCTTCTTTTCCAGTCATGTCCAGTCTGCAGATCACGTGTGGAGCATGTCCAGCATGTCTACCTGCCAACCCATACCAGTCTCCTCAATCTAACAGTCATCTAATGAGTCCTGCGCTTACTGGACAGGCCAGGTCCCCATGAGTCAATCTGTCATCTAATGAGTCCTGCGCTTACTGGACAGGCCATGTCCCCACGAGCCAATCTGCCATCTAATGAGTCCTGCACCTACTGGACAGGCCATGTCCCCACGAGTCAATCTGCCATCTAATGAGTCCTGCACCTACTGGACAGGCCAGGTCCCCATGAGCTGCAGTATTGTAAACTGTAAGAATAAAAACCTTGTGAGGAACTATCTCACTCTCGACACCCATCTGCCATGAGACATTTTCAGACACAAAGAAGAAAAGAGAAGCAAGAGTGCAGCCATTCCTCTCCCGTGAGTAGAAGCAACAGCCCCAGTGGCAACCAGGAAGAGCTCTGGGACAGACACATTCCTTCTTGGACTTTGGGTTTTTTTAATGATCAAGTAAAGGAGTAGATAAAATAGTCTTTGTCAGTTAAGTGGTACCATAGCCCAACAGTGGGTACCTTTTAGGAAATGATGTCATACGTCTCCTTAACTTCTCCCAAGGCAGCAGATTTTATAAGAGTTTTAAAATTTCCTTGGTTCTTTTTCTATGGTCATGGAGCGCTGAACATTTTTAATAGGAATTTTTTCCTTAAAGAAATAGTCCTTGTTATAATGTCATTTCTGTCTTTATAACTCATTCAAGAATGACTGGAAAGCTAGCAGATTGAAAAGCAGTCCTGTGACTTCTCAAGGGTTAACATGTTGTCAGACTGAAACCAGTGTGTCTGAGAGGAAACAGGTAACTCAACGTGGGTGACTTCTTAACCCTTCTTTTCCCACACCCTGCACCCCATGCCTTTCGGTGATAAAATGTTACCAGTTTGGTTAAATGACTTCCATGGCATAGTCAAACACTCCCTGGGCTTTTGAGCTGTTGGAACATTTGGAGATTGGAAAGGAAAGTTCACAGACAGACAGACAGACAGGGCAAGAGTGCCAGAGAGGCTCCTGGTGTGCTCAGGTGGTTCTTCACATCCCCTAAGCACTCACTCCAGCTGCACCCATGGGTGTCGCCTTGCCTGAAGATCAAACCTTCTACAGCCTTATCATAGGTCTCTAGATAGTGTCTCCTTTGTGTGTGCGTTTGATTTCGCTTTGTTCATGATGTTTTCTTGTCAATGCTTCCGTAGTCATTGCGTTGCCCCTGCCCTGCATCTTTCAGAGGTGGGGTTAGTTTGTTCTGTTCCCATAGTCTTAATCATATTTCCACCCCCACTTGGGCATTTTGGAAGCTAGTGAGCTAGGGGGTTTTCTAGGGTGTCAGGAAACCTAGCTGACCTCATCGGGTGCAATACTAGCTAAGTGAAAGCTAGAAACCTACACTGTCACTTTACTGAGATTTCCGAGTCTACGTTTCATATTGCCTTAATGTAGCAGTAATGTGTTTATGCATTTGTTTCTTTGCACAGACATTTTGTCAGATATTAAAACTCTACTTTTTTATGGCACATATTAGCATATAAGCCTTTATTCCAAGAGGTATTTATTTTTTCACTTGTAAAAAAAAATAATGTTTCCACATTAAAAAAAAAAAAAACCAACTCTGTTATATCCTAGAGGACTTCTGTCTTTTATATTCAGGATAATAAAGACTTTAAAGCGAACCGGGCATTTGTGTTCTCGTGGTCATTGTCATTTAAAGTGTTTTCCTGTTGAGTGAGCGCTCACGTCGAGGTTTGAAAATTTGAAAATGTGTAAGGAGTTTGTCTTTGTTGAGAGGATTTGTCCAGCTCTTCTCTCATCTGTGGTTTTGGACCTACAGGAGTAGAAGGCAGGTGAACATGATGCTCTGACATACAAAGCACATGGAAAGGAAAACTGGAGAAGAGGGTAGCAAGGTGGCTCACCAAGTAAACTGGTGAGCAGCCTGATGACCCGAGTCCCATCCCTGGAATCCACGTACACTGCAAGGAAACAGCAACTTGGCCAAGTTGTCCTATGATGGCCACACACGTGGCTCACAGGGCTCAGTAACAGCAGAAACAGTATACTGTGGTATCCAGGGCTGTCTTCCTACAGTACCACTGCAGGCTACTTCTGGGCCTTAGCTATAGGGTATCTGTAACTGATACCTTTAAAACTGGGAGACAGACCCAAATGTGCCTCCCATTGACTTCTAGGAATCAGTTCACTTATTCAGCATATTTATTAGACACCAACTAAGTTGTTATTGGGCCCTGCAACTTTAAAAGAAGAAAATAGTCAAAGACACAGTTTATCACATACCTAAAGCATCAGAGTATCAGACTCTAGTGATTCACAATGTCTCTATTGCCTGCAACATGCATGGGTGCTTCTGTATGGGTTCAGAATACTGTTCAGGTTTATAAGCATGGTAGTCTCAGAATGACAGCCAGGATGGATGGGTGGGTGAGTGACAGGTCAATAAAAGAGAAACACTGTGCTCCATGGGCCAGGGGCTTCTTCAGCTCAGCAACTAGCATGAAAATCCATGTATTACGTTCTCAAAGCATAGAGGGTGAAGAAGCACTGTTGAGTGTGGGAGACACTGATCCGCCTTTGCTTAGGGCCCAGGGTAAACGTGCTTCAGAAAGACCTTGGAGTAAGACCTTCACTCTGTAGTTGGGAAAAGACTCCAGGTCCCCTGTCCAGGCTACGGTACAGCTGGTGGGTCCGGCTCATGCTCACCTGTCAGGGCAGTGGTGAGAACTTAGGCTCTGAAGGAAAGTGTGGCATGGAGAAGCAGGGAAAGGAACCTGGAGTTCCAATACTACTGACTCTTCTACCGCCTGCAGAACTAGGAACTGGTAACTCAGGAAAGCTTGTACCACAGCTAATGCACAAGACAGAGCAAGAGGAGATCAGAGAGGACTCGATTTTGATTATCGATTGACATGAAAACAAGGAAAGTGGGCTGGGGAGATGGCTCAGTGGGCAAAGACTGATGGAGCGGAAGAAGGCTGGAGAGATGGTGATATCAGTTAGAGATGGAGAATTAAGAAGACTGGCTGCTCTTGAAGAGGACCTTGCTTGGATTCCCTGCCCACACGGTGGCTCACAACCATTGGGAACTCCAGTTACAGGAGTCCTGATGCCCTCTTCTGGCTTCTGCAAGCACCAGACATGCATATGAGACACCAACATACATGCAGGCAAAACCCCCATATGCACACATTTATTTTTGTAAAAAGAGGTGGATGGAGAGAACCAATTCTATGTAGTGGTCCTCTGCCCTTCACATGTTCACTGTGATGTGCACATACACAAACACACACCACGTATGCACATAATAACAAATACAATTATTTAAAATGAAAAAACAAAAGACTTCACCAGTCTTCAGTCACATGTGAGCATGCCATAAAGATTGAGCCTCCAACTTGAGAACACCTGAAAGGGTTCAATAGGAGGAAGGGGTTAGTGGCTTGTTGCTGGGACCAAATGCCTGACAAGAAGCAGCTTGAGGAAGGAAGGGTTTGTCTGACTCACACTTTAGGAGGAGATGCATATGCTCCATCAAGGAGGGAAGGCGTGGCTGCAGGTTCGTGAGGTCGCTGGTCACCTTGCGCCTGCCACCACTGGGCAGGAAGTGGAGTTAGGCTATGAAACCCCAAAGCCTGTCGCTAGAGACTCACTCTTTTCAGCAGGACTTCTCCTCCTTAGGATCTCACAATCTCCAAGCCAGCACCACCAGCTGAGGACCAAATGTTCAGACACATGAGCCTATGGGAACCTTTCACACCACAGTAGGAGCAACCCATGGGTACTGAGAGGAACTTGCTTTTGGTCCTGGAAGCTTACAGTTGCAGTACTTGTAAACCCACAGACCTGGAGCCAGTTGGAAACCTGGGTGGGGCTGAGAAAGAAACCAGGAAGGCTGGCAGTATTTGTTTCCAAGACATTGCATTAGCATATATTAATTACTAATTAATAACGAGTCTCACTGTGACATTTTTCATGCACTTGTGGAATGTAATTTGATCCCATTCACCCCCTCCTGCCCTCCTCCCCACCCCCATGCTCTTCCTCCTCTTCAGACAGTCCCCTCCACCTTCAGATTTTTATTTCAACCTGGATTCCACATGTAATGTCTTTTGTTTAACCTGATAATATCACAGTTTGTGGTGGTGGTGGTGGTGGTGGCTATTTAGTTTGGTTTCTTTTCTCTTTTTTTAAATAGGGTCTCATATAACCAGGCTGGCCTTAAACTCCTGATCCTCTTCGCTCTACTTTCCAAGTGCTGGTATTACAGGCGTGCACTATCACACCCAGTTTCTAATACTGTTTTGCCACTGTAGAAAAGATCCTGAGTGGAGCTTAAGCACAAACAGAATTGAAAAAACAAAGAAAAAGAAAAAGAAAATGCCTGCATTTCCATATTTCTTATTGGGAGTGTATTCCATGCTTTCTCACAGAAATCCTAAAACATTTGCAAACTCCTTCTATTCATATCTGTTTGACTGAATTTATTCTCAAAACTGCAGGTTATTAAGGAGTTATCCCTTTGCCTCTTCAACACAGATCACAGATTGAACACATCTGTTAGTTCCTTAAAGCAGTGTGTGCTTCAAGCAAAGCCAAACATCTGTTCTTCCAGCTCCCAGCAGTGGTAAGGGGAAGAGAAGCTTGGAAGGAGTGAACCCTCCTGCCGAGGAGCTATTTTTCAGTTAAGAAGAAAGTCTGTATGTGTGTTTACGAAACAAAACACTAATCAATAATCCTAAGACCCAAAGCAATATACATGCACATGTGTTCATTCCCAAATGAATGTGAGCAAGCGGCAGAAGGCGTTTGCAAGAAGTTAGTCCTTTGTCCTGAAGGAAGCACGGAATCTGAGTGACAGGAAAGGCAGACAAAGCAAGAGAACAGGAAAGAGCCCAGAGGTCAAGAGCAAGAGCAAAACCCTGACAAAGGCACAAGGAAGGCTGAGTCCGCCCTTGAAGAGCCTCCGTGGCTGCAATTGAGACTTCAAGTTTGACTTGATGGATGCAGAGAGGCTAAAACAAGATGTTGGGTTTGTTTATTTACCATTGTGCACTTGATTTGCTTAGATTTGTATTCATTAATTCAAGCATTGCTTTGTTAGCTCAACAAATATTCATTAAGTACCTAGGATCAGGCTGTCTATTAGAGCTGGGGTAGTCGTTCCAACCAGGAAGCTCTCCCTCTCTATCTGTGTCTCTGTGTCTCTGTGTCTCTGTTTCTCTCTCTCTCTCTCTCTCTCTCTCTCTCTCTCTCTCTCTCTCTCTCTCTCGTGTGTGTGTGTGTGTGTGTGTGTGTGTGTGTGTGTGTGTGTGTGTGAAGTATGCCACACCCCCCAAGACATTAGCCATGTCTGAGGACATTTTTCTAAATTTTCACACTAGAGATCCGTACTGCTTTTTTGTGGACCAGCAAATTGGCCTAGCTGGTAAAAGTTCTTGCCATCAAGCCTGATAACCAGTTCGATCTCTGGGACTCACATCGTAGAAGGGGAGAACTGACTCCTGCACACTTTGTCCCACACACAGAATAAAGAAAATGTAACAATATTTTTAAAAAGAATTTTCTGGCCTAAAAAGTCAATATTCCTACTGTTGTAAAGCCTTGGGATGGAGAGTAGAAATGTCTAAAACGAAGTCCTTGTCCTCTGTGGGACACCATGTGGAGCTGAAATTACAGATCAATCCTGCCAGCCCACTTAGTTCCACAACTGAAGCAGGCTGTGGATGCTATACAGGAAAGAAGAACGGCTTTGTTTAGGGTAAGATAATTTTCTAGAGGTCACGTGAGAAGGAGTTCTTAAAAGATGAATTAACTTCCCTGGTTGGAAAGGTGGGTGGAAGGATCATGTTCAAAACCACGGCAGATGTGGGAGGCAGCTTGACGGAACTGGAATGGAATACTGGATATATGACTGGACACACAGATGTAAACGGTAAGAGAAGGGACTGACGAGTTACATTGGGACTTTACCCAGGAAGGTGACCCAGGCCCTGGCCACCCTACTCCCAGGCTCACTCGTGAGAAAGCGGGTGTCTGGGGCTGGGGATGTAACGCGGTGGGCAGAGTACTTGCCTAGCAGGTTCAAAGTCCAGGGTTCGATTGCCAGCGCTGTATCAACTGGCCGTGGTGGCGCACACCTGTGATCGTCAACATTCAGGAAGTGAAGACAGAAGGATCAGAAGGTCAAGGTTAGCCACATAGGGGCCGGGCTGGGCTGTGTGAAACCCTGTCTTTAAAAAGATAGGAGGGCTTGAGTAAGTGTCTTGAAAGGCCCGTGTGTTGCTGATTTGATCTCCTGCAGTCAGAAGGGCCAGAACCTCTTAAAGGTTGAAAAAAATGAAACCCAGTTGGAAGATGCTAGGTCCCTGGGACACGCCCAACACCTCTCTCCTTCCTGACCACTGTGACAGCAGTTTGCTCTTCCACTCATGTCCACCATGACATGCTTCTGAGCCAAAGACTCAGAGCAACAGGCCAGCAAACAGGGGCTGAAAACTGCTACCATGGGCCCAAATAAGCTTTTCTCTTTTCAAGCTGATTCACCTCTGACATTCGTTAGAGCAATGGAAAGCTGACCAGTGGAGTCCAAAATAGCTGTGAAATGGGACCAAGAAGTATCGGGGTCCCACATGACTCTATCCACTGCACTCTTGCACAGAGATC